AATATTAAAATATAATTGTGCCTTTGTGTGTCAAATGAACCAGTGCCCCCATCAGGAAAATTTCAAATGGGATTTCTTGTCTAGCAGTGACCTCTCATTGCCTTGGTCATGTAATATTGTCCTAGACAATGAGGAGGTGCCATCATTAATCTTGGGCACTGACAAAGGCCTTCGACACCAGAATTACAGTCAGAATTTGATTAGGTTCTGAGATAATGTGTATAAGGTGTACTTGTTTGAGATTAATTTAGAAAAGAAATACTTTGTTTCAGAAATAACTGGAGGAAATGTCTTTTTCTTTTTACCTTTCCAATTTTACATTAACGTGAATTCTGCACAATGACTGTTTCCTGTGTCCCAGTGGATGCAAGTGTATCAAAATTATTACTCATTAAGGAGAACAATTTCTGGAACTTTGGTGTGCTACAAATCAAAATCAGGGAGCATGTCACTCTTTATTATAACTCCACCAGCTCAGAGATGGCCATTATTAGTTCAGCCAAGCAAAATTAATTGGTCAATGGTATTTAAAGCCTTTAAGGGGATAAGAGACTCTGGAGACTGCAACCAATTATTGCAGTGATTTGATTTGTATTTTTCAGATGAGACTGCTTTCACTCAGCCACAGAAGAGATGTTGTTAAACTTTGTTGTTTTCCGGTTTTAGTGCTTGGGCTTTCCTTGTAGATGTCCAAATATAGGTTATCCTTTGGATATCCCAATTCCATATACATATATCCAACCACATGATCACCGGCTGGGGTAAAAATATGACTGCAAAAGTATAAAAAAAAATCTCTCCTTGAAAATATCTCACCTTGAATTCTAATGTTAATCTACCTTAAACCACACCATTGCGCGACTCTGTCATCATGATTTATTATCAGGTTACTTATTATGCCAGCAGCCATATCACCCTGCAACTCACAACTAGCACTCACTAAAGCTAAGCAGGAGTGAGCCTGGTCAGTTTCTGTATGGGAGAAGCCCTGGGAAAGCTAAGGTTGCAGCTGGAAGAGATGGTAGAGAGGCCAGTAGGGGGAGCTCACCCTGCTGTCTGTGTGGGTCCTAATGCCCCAGTATAGTGATGGGGAGGCTATACAGTAAAAAGGTTCTGTCCTTCGGATGAGACGTAAAACCGAGGTCCTGACTCTCTGTGGTCATTAAAAATCCCAGAGTGTTTATTGAAGAGTAGGGGTGCTACACCGGTGTCCTGGCCAAATTTCCCGTTGGCCTTTACCATTCATGGCCTCTTAATAATTCCCATCTATGAATTGGCTTCATTACTCTGCTCTCCTCCTCACTGATAGCTGATGTGTGGTGAGCATTGTGGTGCACTTTGGCTGCCGTCGCATCATCCAGGTGGGTGCTGCACATTGGTGCTGGTTGAGGGGAGTCCCCATTACCTGTAAAGCGCTTTGAGTGGAGTGTCCAGAAAAGCACTATATAAGTGTAAGTGATTATTATAATTATAATGGGGACTTCCCTCCATCACCACTAATGTGCAGCATCCACCTGGATGATGCGACAGCAGCCAATTCATAGATGGAGATTATTAGGAGGCCATGATTGTTAAGGGCCAATGGGAAAGAAACACCCAGGGATGTTTAATGAGCACAGAGTCAGGACCTCAGTTTTACGTCTCATCTGAAGGACAGTGCCTTTTTTTTACAGTATAGTGTCCCCGTCACTATACTGGGGCATAAGGACCCACATAGACTGCAGGGTGAGCGTCCCCTGCTGGTCCCACTTACCTTAGTTTTTCCCAGGAGGTCTCACATCCAGGTACTGACTAGGCTCACACCTGCTTAGCTTCAGTGGGTTATCAGTTGCAGGGTTATATGGCTGCTAGCTAGCATCATGAGTAACATATGATGAACTGAGGTACAGAATAGCACTTGTTATTGTGTTTTTTTTCCTCAGACATTTAAAATGCACAGACTGAGATGGTTTATAGTGTATAGTCTGTGCTGTGTAACTGTTTTACCACAAAAGGCCACCAAAGTTCAATAAAACAGTAATGGCCACTGGCTACACATTTTCAGCTTCAGGGATCACATGGATAGCAGCTGTTTTCAAGTCACAAATGTAATGAGCCATATAAAGTGCTAACTTTGCCTGAGTGAAATTTAAAATGAACGGGAATTATACTTAACAGTATATTGATTAAAATCAACATATGACAAGCACAAGGTTGTAAAGGCTAAAAATAATAACATCAAAGCCATATAAATGAATTCCTATTTTATGGTTACCAATATCTTTCTCAGGAATTTAGTATTAAATTATCAGTTCAATTGATTATTATTATTATCATCAAAATTAAAATAGTAATGGAAGTAAATAACCTAAATAATAGCTAAGAAGTTGATATCCATGTCAATGATATAAAAAATTCTTTATTTTTTTCCCCATATCATTACAAAGTGATTTCTTTTTTTAACCAAGTTCCGTCATGAAATGCAGCACTATCCTGATGTTATTGAAAATTGCTTTCAGGTGTTAGCCATTAGATTTCCAAACATGTAATTCAAATGCTTAAGTAATTTCACTTTTCTTTGCCTGATCTGCTATGAATAGGGCTTCTGGCGCACAGTTGTTGACCCATATACTGTAAGTAAATTTAGGATTTTTTGTGATTTTAAGTACTACACTAAAGCAAGGAATTATTATTTCAGTGTCAATGTCTTTGTTTAACAAACTGTGTTAATAAGTAAGTATACTATTTTTTAGTTGCTCATTTCTTACCTAAAGTATGTGGCAATCTTATCAATAAGTCTTCTAAACGATATAATTTAAAATATCAATATGTAAGTGTCTTTGTCCTGTATAATCAGCATATTCTAATTGCAATGCATTATAGATTCTGGAGTGAGGGCATACAGTATTCCATGGATGTTTCCTAGGCAACAGTCATGTGCTAACTCTGTAATGTTACATTAGATGACTGGTTAGATCTGGGGTATTGTGATAAGACAGTAAGACTGAGGAGTAGCTTGCTGAACGTAGTTCGTAGTAAGAACACTGTCCTAAGCACTTTTTTCCAATTATTTTAATTTCATAGCAGCATGCTACAGTTATCAGACCAAATAAGCATTAGATACTGCTACTTTGATGGTACACTTTTTAGTACATCCAAAACTACTTTGACATACAGTACAGTGCCTTGAAAAACTCTTGTAAACTCTTTACTTTTGTAAAATTACAATCAGTTGCATGCACATTTTTTAAACATAATATTTTTATTTAAAACCTGAATGCTCAAGCTGATGACTTGAAGGGTAAAATATTTCAGTAAATATAAGCAAAAGCTAAAGAGAATAACTGCAATATGTTGATTGCATAGATATTCAAACCTATGAATTACAGCTACAAATCTTTCTGGGTAAGTCTCCACCAACTTTGCACACCAGTCAAGTCTTCCCACAGATTTGCAATGTAATTCACTTCCAAGACTTTGACTAGCCTTCCATACATTTAATACAGAGAATTTCATACATTCACTTTCTTATTGGCCACTTATGCTTTGGAACATTGTCCTGCTAATAGTGAATTTTTAGTTTTGTTTTTTTTTTAAATAAATTCCAGCTAGATCTTTAATTGTTTTTGTAGTTCTACTGTATGAGTAGTAATCTAAAAGCAGATACTGTATGGCTGAAGTAAAATAATTTCTCAACCTACCATTTCAGAAATGTTTATAATTTAAACATGAAGATTTATCACATAACAGACATTGGAAGAAGACAAGAGAGACAAGATGGTGATTCTTGTCCTAACTGTATAAAAAAAAAAGCAATGGGTAATGAACAGACATTCTGTCACATGACCAACTGGAGGAATACATCCAGATAGGCTGCCATCGACATCTGCCTTTTTAAAAGAGAGCAGAAACTTTCTGATATGCTGCACCACAAAAGGAGAGAGCAATAGATGACTGATAGACAATCTTGTGAAGTGTGAGTTTTGCAGAAAGAATTTGATTTCTAATAGTGTTTTTGCAGCCAGTAAGCAGCTTAGCTCCTTAGCTGTGTTTCAGCTGAAACTTTGGAAGACGTCTGCAAAGACAAAGACAGACTGTGGGTAATGTTTCTGAGGTGAAAGAGACTTTACAAATGGCTTTTATTTGTGCATCAAAACAGGACTCAGGATAAAACCAGACCCCCATATTTCTCATAGTAGTGCATGACTTGAGGTCACTGTTTGCAAATTGTATGGAATTCAACAAATGGGGTGTAACTGGGGACAAGCAGGGGGTGCTCACCCTGCGGTCCATGTGGGTCCTAATGCCCCAGTATAGTGACGGGGACACTATACTGTAAACAGGCGCCGTCCTTCGGATGAGACGTAAAACTGAGGTCCTGACTCTCTGTGGTCATTAAAAATCCCAGAGTGTTTATTGAAGAGTAGGGGTGTAACCCCAGCATCCTGGCCAAATTTCCCATTGGCCCTTACCATTCATGGCCTCTTAATAATCCCCCTCTATGAATTGGCTTCATTACTCTGCTCTCCTCCCAACTGATAGCTGATGTGTGGTGAGTGGTCTTGTCGCATCATCCAGGTGGATGCTGCACATTGGTGGTGGTGGAGGGGAGTCCCCATTACCTGTAAAGCGCTTTGAGTGGAGTGTCCAGAAAAGCGCTATATAAGTGTAAGTAATTATTATGATTAAGATTATGATTATTATTATTAACTTCCCTGGGATTTTTGCACATTGCCTTGTCATGAAAACTCACGAACGTTTTCTAAAATTGCATGAGAAGCCACATTTTTTTGTTAGTTTTAAAGTTTCAAATTTGTTTACTTTTTGTGGTAATTTGTTACTATGACTTAAACTGAGAATGAGAAATTGAGAGATTAAGGCAGAGTGACATAATACCAGAAACTACTATGCTGTGACCCAGACTGAACTCTAATGGACTTGGTGGTCTATTCTTGTTTTGTGACTGGTCATTACATTTATAAAGTGATAGCTAGATACCATTCCCCAGTAAAAAGTAGAAAGAAATTTTAATAGACTCTTTATTTCTTGCAAATGTACATGTCAGAAACGTATTGACAAAAAAACAGGTCTCAGCAGAGTTTGAAAGATTTCTTCCTTCTAAATTGTCCCATGCATTGAGAACCAGCAAGGTTAAAAAAGTCAAACAAGGCTTTTAGGGCTCAATCTTCCCTCCAGTATTTACAGAACCTTAGCTCTCTGACCCTCAATCCAAGTGCTTCACCATATATGGCCCTTCCAATTCATAGCCAATCTTCCTGTAGTAATTCCTTGTACCCACACCTGAAAAACAAAAACAAAAAGGCTTGTAGGCTGTAGTGCTGTGCTGCAAATAATTAAATACATTAGTTTTAGGCTTGCTAAATGGAATCTTAAGGTACATAATTTAATAGTATACAGTATGGCTCTGAAAAGTACTGCATTATACTTCCTCTATTGATAATACAGCTGTTACATATGCGTAAAATGTTGCAGCCTATCTTACTACAGTACATTTTAAACAAACCTCTTCCCACTCACTAATTTCCTATGAGATTTTGCTGACTAAAATCAGTTTTAAAGAATGTGCTGGCTAGTTGCAAATACAAGTCAGTGACCAAAACACCGAAGATTGGGAGAAGTTTGATTAGATGGAGATCTCTACTTATAAGCTGCTGTAGAAAATGTTGCCATATACTTAGAAAAATTCACTGTGTATTTCAAAATTAGCTGTATATAAAAAGCTCTGGCGCCCCCCTTTGGATCCTTAAAAATTGTATTAGCCCACGGAGAACAAATATTGCATTTAAACAAGATATTAATTAATAAATGCATAAATAATATTGCCCTAATATGTTAATATATTGCAATATACTGTATATGAAATACTACTGGCCTATGCAAAGTTCAGTTTTCATTAACAAAATAAATATTGTCACATGCCCCTTTGTGCAAATTAATTGGTATAATAAAGCAATAATGTCTTTTATATGTATATATGTTTATATGTATTAAACCTTTACTTGTTCTTTTGCAGACTATGCATGCTGACGCAGCTACTGTATCTATCTTGGTTAAAGGTTGTTTAAGTTAAGAACATGGAGGTCAGATAAAGTATATCTTATACTACAGTACGACCTGTGTCACTGATTTTCTTATGATATCTTATATCTTATGATATCAAATTTATCTGCACCTTCGCAACTATCCCTTGGTCACTTCTCACTCTGCAGGGGGTCCCAGCCTCCTTGTCCATAAAGGGGGGATTCAAGGGAGATGTGAACACATTTTTAGTTTGGTTTCATAACATCATTAATCTTAAGTCTTAGCTGTTTACTGTTTTTTTTTTCATGCCACTTCGAGGTGTAATGAAAAATGAAACTATCAATAAAACAACCACTAGGCCAGGTACAGAGAAACATACCCAAAGCTCTTTGTGCAGTGTTTATTTGTTCCACCTGTTCTCCCTACGACCTGTGAAGAGAGTGTGTGTTGTGCCCCAAATCAGGGCATTCTGTTTACGATTTAAGCCCAGTTCATCTCATGCAATGTATTGTAGATGTCTGATGAATTCTAATGAAAAATCTGTGCTTCTCAATGGAATATCTGATAATTATGTCACAAATACTAATGGTGATGCAAATAGCTTCACATAATGTTGTGAAATGCTTCTGTGAGCTGGGAAGCCGCTAATCGAAGGTGGTATAACTCGTCTGTTTTTTTCTTAGCAGCTAGTGACAAGTGAAAAAGTGGTGTATCTCTTTATGAGAAATGTATCTGCCATGTCTAGTTTCCCTGGTTTTCAGAATACTATATGCCAGGTTCTGGTTAGGTGGCTGCACAGCTCTGCACTCAGATTGCTTTGTTATATAACAACACTCCTGGGTTTCATGAAGTTTCTTTTTTGCCTGCAACAACATTGGGATCACTGTTTGTTTTATTGGATTCCATCCAGATAATATACTTTGAAAACCCATCTATTGTTGATAAAGCCCATCATGGTCAAAAAACAACATTTGTCTGTTCATTTGAACAGTTCATTGAGTCACTAACAATTCATTGTGAAAACACTTGATGGATCAGTTTGTATCCCTATAATCTACAGTTAGTCTGCTGTTCCTGCAGGAAGAATAACGTCACATCCAGAATGCTATATCACCCTATAATTCACAACTGGCAACCCACTGAAGCTAAGCAGGTGTGAGCTTGGCCAGTTCCAGGATGGAGACCTCCTGGGAAAGCTATGGTTGCTGCTGGAAGAGATGTTAGGAGTTTTTATCCTGCAGTCTGTGTGGGTCCTAATGCCCCAGTATATTGATGGGGACCATAAACTGCAAAAAGGGCACCTTTCTTTGACTTAGATGTAAAACCAGGGTCCTGACTCTTCGTGGTCAGGATAAAAATATTCTTAATCTGATATCTGATGTGTGATGAGAGTACTGGTGTACTTTGGCTGCCATCACGTCATCCAAGTGAGAACTATACATTGTTCTCACCACATTGGTGGTGGTGGAGGGGTGTCCTTATACCTGTAAGGTGCTTTCAGAAAAGCACTTTATTAATGTAAGAAATTTTAAATTGATGCCAAGAGGAAATGCCACCATTGAAGTTCTTTTAAGAAGAGAGACAATCTGGAAAAGAGGGGAAATATATTTTGTATACTGACAACAGGATATTTATATAGAATTGAAAAAAACAACAACTTGGCATACAAATTGGAAAAAGACAAATTCCATAATCTGTAAAGGTTTCTCTTATCTGCATTTTTCATATTTCAAGCTAAGGTTAATCCATGTATGAAGTAAAAGCAAGCACTGCAGAAAAGAGCAAGTTAATTAAGTGAGATAAAACAGCTGGGTGCTCTAGATAGGCTAACAGTCCCCCCCCTCTCACCGCGCCCCACATTCCACCCTTTCTCATCTCTCCCTCTCCTCACTGTGACTGGGTTAGTCTAGCTGTGTCCTGGTGGCGTTTGTGTCAGTGACTGGTGATTTGAGCGTGGCTCAAATGGAAAATTCCTTTCCTGCCCAATTAACTGAAGAAGTCAAGTCGTCATTTGCCCTGTCTTATCTCTAATTAGGGGCAGGTGTTTTCAGGCTCTTGAGGAATCAGAAGAAAATAAAGCCTGTGTAGAAATGGAGGAGGCTTTTTTTTATTAGATTCTTTACTCATTTTGATCTTTTGATCTTTCTTTTTTACATGCATTTAGATATTCCTAAATGCTCTGGAGACTGTATTCAGTGATGATGAGAATACTTCACAGCACAAATTATACATCTGTTTTACTAGTGCACGTACAGTATACAGTAGATTGCCATTTAACCAACAAACAGAGGAATTACCCTCTATTCTCAATGCCATAAAATATCAGCTTTTCGCATGAATGTGTGAATCTTGCCCTGGATGATACTAGTTACTATTTGCATATGTATTTTTTTATCATCAGCTTTTCACCAGGGTTCTCTTGAAAAAGCTTAATGTGTTTATCAAAGCAGTACAATTTAATAAGGCAGGCTCCATTATTACAAGCAAGCAAATGCAAAGCTCACCACTGAGCAAACTGCATGTATAAAGATTTTGAATAAAGATTTTCTGCAAAAAAGCAATGATGAACTTAACATTTTTTCAATTTCTCTGGTAGTTATTTTTGTCCTGTTCATCTTAAAGGAGGTAAAAGTGAAAAAGATTGTCAAGGCCAGAGTTAACATGCAAGACGCAGAGCCATCCAAATGATTCTGTCAGCATCAGGGGTGACGTATTTCTGAATTAATAGAAAATGATTGCTTTCTTGCCTTGCATCACTTACTAGAACATTGGTAATAGTGGTGGGAGAAAAAGCCTTTGACATTTAAAATTGTTAAGGAACAGTTTCAAGTTAGTCACATGATGAAAAGCTCCTATTAATACACCTCCCACTGAGGAAATATCATGCTAACTGGATCCCATATCCAGGGGAGCTGTTCCATTAATTTTCATACACATCAGTATGATGTTTAACATTTATGTGAGTGACCAGCTTTTATGTACTTACTTGTTTGAGAACAATTTAGAAATGAAAGGACAGGAAACTGGAGTTATGTTTAGCCCTTCCTTGATATTTAATCTTTTATTTTCCAATTTAGAACCCAAGCTAATTTCAGTTTTGTGGAAGATGTTAAGAACAGCATCAAGTTCTATCATTATATTTTTTAAATCATTCAAACACTGTCCAGAATACAAAAAAGTACAAAACAACAGAATTCTAATTCTTCTAGAGCAGTTGTTGTGTTAATTGTTTTATCTTACTGCAAAGTTATTCTGAGACAGTTTGTTGTCTCAGTTTGTTGTCGAGACAAAGAAGAACCAGGTTGATGCAGAGTTACATCAAAGTAAGTATTTAACTGATTTACAAAATACTAACAAAAATTACATCAAGCAAAGATCAGAGATAAAGGAATATATTAAATTAACAATGGTTACAGTTTTAGAATATAGACATGTAAAATGTTTTCTCAGCCATGTAAAATGAACAACACATCCTGTATTTAACTGATTAGCATTCAGCACCTCTCTCCTATTTTAATTATCCAATATCTCTTACAACTTTACACTGCTCTTGGTCTTCAGATTATTACTTCAGGCAGCTGTTTTACCTTACATATGGTAACGTAACTTCTTAAAACCTACCGAGGATTCATTTTCTGCTCCCATGGGTTTCTCCAAGTAAAATATTGTCGTTAGGACGTAATAATGGACTTCTATTCTGATCAAGTACCATAACTTTTAAATTAATAGACTTCAACTAGCCAAACTAATTGGTGATTTACATGTAAAATTTAATTTTTAATCCTTTAATTGATTTTTTAATAAAATCCAAAACAGAAAAGCAATCCTCTGAAATCCATTTTAAAGTGTACATAGAAGATCAAAGTCTGTATGTGTAGTACAATAGCAGAATAAGTTTTTGACAAAGCAAGTTAATACAAAATCTATTAGTTTTTGGAATATTATAGCAAGTTTCTAGATGTTTTCTACAGTAAACTATTTTAATTTACCTGACTTTCAGGCATATCAAAAGATAGAGGTTCAGTTATATCTCAGGAGAATCTGATTAGTGATTTCTGATTTAAATTGTTCTCCTATATAAGGCAACATACCTATTTACAGCAGATCCATAACTTTACATAGAAAGCCTGATTGAAAGGTTTCAAAACTATCAGTGATTAATGATTATTTTGGCAATTACTTAAAAAAACCATGGGGGAATGGAGTACCCTAGAAAAACATCCAAGGTCATCCATTGACAAGGTACGACTTGAAGTTCAACACTACATTTCTCATGGCCATGTCAAACTCGCCCAGCTTTCAAACTCAGACGTCCGTGTAGCAACTCTTCTATGTCCTTCAGACTGACTACCTGACGGCTGCATAAGAGACTGAAGGAGCCAGGGGAAGTGGCAGGCTAATTGAGGTCAAAAGCATTAATGAGAGGCAGGCAGCTGGACCTGACAGCAGCAGGACTAGCACTAGAGAATACTGGAATTATTAACAGACACATTAAAGTGCAAAGTATCAAAGGTACGTTTGTTCTGGAACTAAGACATCACACATAAAATATATTTTTTATAAACTGATATTTGTTACAGTGGATTTCTATTACAGACTGTCTTTGGCTTTAGGAAAAGGCCATATAGTGTTTTTCCTCCCTTAAATGAACATGCCTCTTTGTTCAACTTACATCTCTGCACATTTATCAACTAATGAACAAGATTGATGTTTTGCAATTGAAGTGGTGAGGAATGTCCAAACATCTTAAAAAAGGACATTGCAAACAATGACTTAAGGTTGAGAGCATTTCTAAATCTATTAAAAGAGAAGTATTACTTTCACCAACATGCTATTACTCATTTCTGACTTGTCATGTGCACTATTAATTTTTTGGCATTAATAATACCACCTTATATTTGTATAGCGCTTTTTACCGGATTCATTTTGTATCCCACTGAAGTGCTGTACCCTCTGGGTCCTTATTAACATGCCCAGGAAAGAAGTGAGGAATATTCCAAATAAACCAGAAGGATATATTCAGGTACTGTATACTAAGAACACCTGAAATATAATGTAGCTATGGATTATTGGTTATAATGCTTTTTAAATGGCATGTGATAATGACTTCAAGTAGTTCGGGATCTTGGTATGTTGTCCAAAATACAACACCTACTATATTTCAATGTCATAATGTGGGAATTTTAGGGAACCAATGTAAAATCACACTGCCAATATTTTAGGGCTCCATCATATAATCTAAATGCAGAAAATACCTCCTTCATGCCCACTAATACCATATTCAACAACAACCTAAGCTTCCTTACATCTCTGCCATGCAAATGATAACAAGACCCAGGCTTGATGAGTTCCCCTAATTCCATGAAATTAGACTGCAACATGTCTAAGCAACCGAACCACTTTTAGACCCAAAGAAGGCTCCACAGCCAAAACGTTGCATTTTCTATTTTCTCTTTTCTCTTTTCAACTTAAAAAAAGGACCAAGTAAAGGTAAATTGCATGCCGAAAAACAGAAAGAAACACAATGTTTTAGGCTGTTGAGTGTGAAGGAGAAAGGAAGGTAGCAGGAATGCAAAAACCCAGGATAAAATGGTAAACCATGTTTTAAAACTCTGGGATCTTGGGATCGTCTAAGTCCTTTCCACTTGTGCCTGCCACAAGGCTGGCATTACAACTGACCCTAAACCTTCGTTTTGCAGGTGGTGGGCCCACAAGTGTGGGCTGCCTGGCCACCAGGCGCTCTCCGGCAAACGCCACCCCCAGGCCTGGCTCCAGGGGCAGATTCCAGTAACCCTGTCTCGAGCAGGGTGCATTCAATCTTAGTAGTCTATACTGTCTATAGTTCTATCATGAGGGTCTTTTTTGGACTGTTCTTTGTCTGACCTTTCAACTCAGACCTCCAGATGGAGAGGAGCCAGTTGAGGTGGTTTGGGCATCTCATAAGGATGCGTCTCGGTCAGCTTACGCTGGAGCTGTTCCGGGCACGTCCCACTGGGCAGAGACCCCTTGGCAGACCCGGGACACCCTGGAGGGATTATATCTCTCGGCTGGCTTGGGAGCACCTGGGGATCCCCCAGGAGGAGCTGGAATCTGTTTCTGGGGAAGTTTTTGCTATTGGCTGATTTAGGCTTGCTGCAACCACAACCCTCACCAGGAAAAGCGGAGTGAAAATGGATGGTTGGATGGGATCTTGGGACCAATTAGTTACTAGCACCTGAACAATGTAGGGTTTCTTAATTACCTCCGCCCAGCTCTAATTTTCCTAATGTTCTTATATTCTTTAAAGGACAAGAAGTATCAGAAAACCTAGTGGATCCAACAAAAACAATTCAGCAGCAACCACCTTCTCATTCTATGTCTTCCAATCAAGTTTTGACCAAGCCTAGGATCAATAAACATTCACAATGTAGTAGTTCAGGTGGGTAGCTCCGTCAGCATGCATAGGCTGCAATGGAACAAGTAATAGGTTTATTCCATGCTGAAAAGAGAAGAGAGAAAACACAATGTTTCATCTGTGGAAGGCTCCACGGCCGAAACATTGTGTTTTCTTTCCTCTCTTTTCAGCATGGAATAAACCTATTACTTGTTCCTTTGCAACATTCACAATGCTTTGTTAGGAAATTAAATTAGTGTTATACACAGTTATTTAAGGGCTTAAAGCACCATCGTGTGACAGTAGCCACTAAATTAAAAAAAACTTTAAATACTATAAATTTGTGTCAAATTGATTGATTTAAATATTTTCAAATAATATCTGGCCAGATTTCAGTAAAACATTCTAGTATTACAGAATATATTTCCTTCTGTCTTACAATACAAAAATATTTAAAAGGGTAAAAGAAAAGTATAATGTCTACACTGAGGGAACCTTTTACTCAATCTTGGATGTATAATGTTTTAAACACTCACTGGAATAACGAACATTGAACACGAAGGAGGATGGTGTTTCTACTAATTATTTTAGAGAACTGAGAACCCAAGACACAGTTCTATGTGCTCTCACATTACTTTCCGTAAAAAGTGAAGAAACACCTAGTTCCAGGGTGGATTGTTACAACCTCACATCCCACCTTCGAAAATAAATTTCTAGTTCAAGCAAGTACCTGAGATTACAGCAATCTTTTCTGATCCATGTTCCTCTCGAGCAATTCTCTCGGCCTCCTCCATGAGAAGCATACCAAACCCCTGTGAAGAGAAGAGAAGTCAGTTAGCACTCAGCAGGCCATGTGAAGACAAAGTCTGATATACACTTAATGGTTTGCAAGAAACAGTCTAATAAAGCAGATAGTCTAATAAATAGCCATAGAATAGCTAAACCAAATGAACCTAAAAGGAGGAAATGTATGCAGCGAAACAATGGATGTAACTGCTACTGATCAGGACCATACAAATTCAAATACTTTTGATTAAAAACCTTAAAAGCTCTGAAACCTTTTTTTATCACAGTTAAACTTGCCAATCACAGCACAGCCAACCAATTACAATCCATTCAACTAGTGTAACTGATCTGTTCAAGGTCTTTTCAACACTTCAAATCCGTCTTCTTCAAAGGCTGGAAAAAACAGTTAACAGACACTTGACTGAATGGTTAGTGGTGGGAGTGAGGGGTACGGGGTATTTTGTTTCAAGCATTCTTAAAATGACTAAATTGAACAAACTGCCTGTTTCATTATTCAAAAGTAATTGGTGGTTTAAGTATTATAAATGTGACCCACAAAACCTGCTCTAATGTGGCTCCTCAGAACCACACCTTTCCAAGGTATACTGACATGAGACTGCTATAAATCTCAGTAAAGGATACAAAAATATTTATTTCAATAATAATATTATATAATGTTTAAAAGATAATAAAGTCTACAAAAGCGACTACTTGTAATTCAACAACAAAACAAATTTAAGACCGCATACAGCACAACTTTACAGTAATTGTCAGATACGTCACAAACAAATTAGCCACCTACATAACTGAAGCTGACATTGAGATTCCTTCAATAAATGATTGGAAAAATACCATAGGTCTGATCAGTTACCAAGAATCCAAAAATGTAAGTTGGGCTAAGTGGCCTTTCCCATTTGTCATCTCTTATAAGATTCAAAATGGCTCAATGGGCCAACATTGTTTATTAATATGAGTGCCTGCAAATGTTACACACCTGGTGCTGGAACTTGCTGGGGTCACGGCTGCTCACAGGTACCACACTGCCGTACACATGGAGCTCCCTAACAATGGATACGCCTCCCTTCAGCTCAGAACGGAAAGACTCTGGGGAGCACTTGCGCAGGCGCAGAAGGCCTATAAGGATGTCTTGCTGTGGGTCCTCGTAAGACAAGAAAGTCTCCCAGCCACCATTTGCCACATAGTCTCTGCGCACCAGCTCCACCTGTCCGACCACATAGACACAGACATTAAGCACGCTGCAGCCTTGGGGCTTTTATTGAGTAATTATATCAGATATCACCCGCTGCTTGCCATTTATAACCTCATTATCAAGATAATGCTTTGGGGTCATATCATTAGGCCTGGTCTTCTCTATTGACTATTTCTACTACAGAGATTAAACTTTTCTTCAGAGACAATGCCTTTGTTTGAGAGTAATAAATATGTGATAATTATAATTAACCAGTTAAAATAAAATCTGTGAGGCTGAAAAAACAACAGCAACCAAAAAAGTGTTTATTAAGTTTCTAAATAAGCAACTATACAAATACAATATTTTACTTCTTATGCATAAAATTGGATACATATTTTGACAATTTGTCCTCCAGACCCCAATACATTATATTGTTTAAATACAGTGATCTTACAAAATAAAATCACACCTTATTTACAAAATAACAAGGAAACTGGCAGAGTGAATTTAATCCCCGTTTGTCTGGGATCAAAAACAATGAAACAGTTGTTCTTTTGGACTTTTGCACTAGACTGAAACATTCTGTTATTCAAGGACAATTCAAGAGTGAAAATATTCTACAGACTCTATAGGCTATAGAAGCACAACAAATTGTGACAAGGACTCAGAACTTTTGGAAACCAACTTAGATGTTAGTGTATTGACTTAGCTGTGAAAAGGTTAACTTTAATCTCCAGGAAGAGGACATAATTAACTTTGCCCCTGTGCAGACCTTTCTTATCAGTGTGCAAGCTGTTATTGCTAGCAAGCCTGGATCAGAGGTACTATCTGTGGTTGTCATCTGTCTTGTTTCTCTGTCCAGTGCTATGTTATCTGCTGGCCGCACCTCCCCCTATATCCCCCAACCCTGAACTATACTTGATTATTGTCCAGTATTACCTCTTTCTTTCTTTGTGAGACCCTGTTTAGAAGGCCCCGCTCCACAGACATAGTCTGGGGGTTTTTGGACTTTATACTAAGTGAAGAGCTCTGAAGGAACGTTTTTACTAGATATTATGCCTAGGTCTTCTCTCTTCATGAAGCCCAGAAAACTTGAGCCTTCTAACTATGCAGATTAGACAATTGTCTAGTAAATCTGAAGATATATTTTACAGTTCTAGTCTATTAAAGTTTTTTTTAACATGCATGGCATTCACAAAATGATTACACAGGACTAATAAATACAGTATTGTTATTATAAGAATAACATAGTTTTTAATGTTTTATCCCTATTTCACGTTTATTACTATAAGTATGAAGTTTCTACACAAAATAATAATATTCATTAAGTATATTAAATAATTATAAGCTTAGTTCAACATTTTCTCCATCTTTAGTATAATTCTACTTACTTGGTAGGGTTTGACTTTATGATGGATTTCCTGAATGCCCACCTCTCTAGTTCTCACATCTCGACACTGTAAACAAAACAAAATTAGAAAATGACTCAAACAGAAATAGATATAAGACAGCCTAAACATCTGGAGAAAATAAAACCTTCTTTAACTGAAGATGGCCAGAATGGTTTTTGGAAACATGAACCATATTCTGGCCCTGCAGAGGATTATGGGACAGTATTTTTAATATTCTTTCTTCTGCTTGATATACATAGTAGCACAACATTGTCTGAACTCTTAGGACAGTGTGATCTCTAACGTCTCACCTCAGTGCCCATATCCTTCATTCGCGCCAGAGCCAGCTCCCTCAGGTTGCCATGTTCAACACCAGAGCTTACAAGAGGCATGGGGATGTCTCTGTGAGAGGATAGCACTGTTAGTAAGATTCAAGGTCAACAACAATCAATATTCTTACCCCACAGAAATGACCTTTCCTATCACACACAGCAAGTCACTGTGGAGAGACACCCCTTTTGAACATAGCCTTTCACAGGAAAATGTGATTCAATCAATTAACTTGACAGAGGAAATAAACGCCAACATGCTGTTTTCTAGCACTACTTGAAAGCTTATTGTGTTACTGATCCTTCCAACTATAAGAGACTATCTATCTCTTTTACATATGGCTAAGTACAAGAAATCAACTATCCATAAAATGAAATAACCAACTTTTCTGCAGATATTTAGAACAAGCAAATTTCTAAGAATGTTTTCTTTTTTTGTGTGTGTGACAATCTTATATACATATAAATAAAAACTTTCCACAATACTTGTGTTTGGAACTTCTTAATCTCGCTGGTACACTCTGGTGCTGATAGGATGCTTTCCTATTGCTGAACATTTCAGTAACTCTGTCATGATATCCTGTCATTCCATGAGCACATAAAACACCTTAAAACAGGACATATTCTAAAACAGATTACTTATATAATTTATATACGTATATGCCCCTTAAAACCTTGGAGTCCAGCTCATAGCTCAGTCTTTGTAGTACATTAACTTTTGTTAACTACAAGGTACATATCAAAGCAGGATTTGTCTTTGAACTTTATAAATTCAGAAACGAACACTTCAGCAGTTCCAGTATATCCTCCCTTTCAAAACTTTTGAGCTACAAAGTTATTCAATTAGATAAACATATTAAGGCTTTCTAGATTCCCAAAATGTTGTTTATGTGTTTTGAAATGTTTTTAGTATTAAAATATTAGTTAAAGCATCCAAAATACCTTTTAAATGTTTATTTGAGAAAATAATTAGATTAACTAACCTGAATGAAAGCCAGGAGACTGAGCTCCCACTGGGCATACTTCTAACCAGAATTACAACTGACCTTTGCACCCGGTAAACGCGGGTCCAGGGTGGCACCAGAGCCAGGATGCGGGCTACCAGGTCCACCAGTGTACTGGGTGAGTAGCTCTTGTAGCGGCCGGTCTTCCACAGCTCATACAGTCCTGTGCCACGGATCACCAGTGTCGGATACAGTTTCATCCCATCCGGCCGGAACGCAGGATTCTCAAAGAACTCCTGAAGGGAAAGGAGAAATTAAAAACAAGAAGTTTAATATTTAAAAAAAAACAAAATACATCACTTGTAAAATTACACTGAAACACTTCAGAAACACAGCACATATTGACATTAGTTCAAGCAGGTCAACATATTGACATTGTTGATTTGTTGTTACAATGCTAGAACTCAATCCATTACATCTTCATGTAAGGTAATTCATGCTAGCCATGTTCCATTATTTTTTGGGGCATTTTGGGATTCAAAAGATAGTGTCTTGCTCATTCTCTAATGATGCCCTTCAGGATCATACCTCTTATTGTGGTCCCTTTCCTTTCTTCCTTTTGATTATCTTTTTTTCTTTGCTTCTCTCTCACAACTCCTAACATTTACCCTCCATCGTCTCATCACATACTCTCAATTTTTTACACATTAAATCTCCCCACAAAATATCTATTACACTACAGGAATATTCACTGTGACTAGTACCTGCTCTTACTCTCTTG